TCCATTGCTCCAACCAATACACTACACAGGCTCTCATATTGTAATGATTGCCAACAGTGTTCAAGAAATGCATTAAACAGTATTAGGCTAAAATTGATTAAACCATTTAACTCAACCCTTTCTCTTGTTGGTTTAAATTATTACCATTGATTAAATACACCAATTAATCTTTCTTATCCTGGAGAGGAGTGACTCGTGTGATGCCACAGGGTTCCATCTTGGGCTCCATGCTGATCAACATTTTTATCAATGACTTGGAGGGTTGCTTTTTTAAAAGTTTGCAGATAACACCAAATTGGGAGGAATAACTAATACTCCAGAAGATAGGATCAGAATTCAAAATGACATAAACAGGTTAAAGAGCTGGGTCAAAATTAACAAAATGAATTTCAACAAGGAGAAATGTAGGATACTACACTTGAAATGAAATGCACAGTTATAGGATGGGTGACACATGGCTTGAAAACAGTACATCTTAAAAGGAACTAGGCGTCTTAGTAGACCATAAGCTAAACATGAGTCAACAATGTGATTCAGCAGCTAAAAAGATCAATATGATTATATATAGAAGTATAGCATCTAGATCAAGGGAAGTAGTAGCTCCACTCTGTCCTACTTTGGTCAGACCTCATCCGGAATACTGTGTCCAGTTCTGGACACCACAATTCAAGGAGGATATGGACAAGCGGAAACATGTGCAGAGGAGAGTGTTCAAAATGATTTAGAAACCATGCCTTATGAGGGACAGTTTAGGGAGCTTTTCAGCTGGAGAGAGGTGTGATCTGCAAGTTGCGTCTCCCCAAACCTTTCTCCCTGTTTGTTTTGAACTGCTTTTAAAGACTTGCATAGAAAGTTTGAGAGAGAGTAGGCCAGGGCCCTCTTCATACTCTCATTGAGCCGTGTTTGCCCTGTCATTCTAGATCTGTTTCACATAGTTGTAGTTTGTTAGAATACTGGATAAAGGCTAGTGCTTCCAGTGGTGTGAATCATGACTGGTACCCTACAGTTCCCAGTTGGTGAGAAAGAGATGCAGTGTCCTTCATTACACAATATATTTTTCACTCTGGTCTTTTTATAGGGCTGATTTACTCCTAGATTACTTTTATCTCCAGAATCATTGAATTTGGAGAGGCAAATAGAAACATTCAAACCCCCCTTTTGTATCTTTGTTGTTTTGTCTACCTTGTAGATCATTAATTTTCTTTATTAGATCTTTGCATTCATAATTGCTGTTAAACAGATGATATTTTTAAAAGTTGTGGAATAGTTCTGTGGTGTTTTGGACTGTACAGCACTTCATGCTATCTGTTACAAACCTAACTAGGGGTTTTCTGTCATTCCAAGCGTAATGGAGATGAAACAATTTATTCAGACAAAATCATATTTATAGCTGTGTTATAGGTTCCATCATTTTTGCCATATTTTACCCTTAGCAGCATATAAAATATTGCTATTCTTGTTTTGTTTGAAAACAAGCATGAGTTTATTTGGATGTGAAATTGTAAGTTCAAATTTGTATACTTGAACTCATCATATAAATGGCTGCTAATATAAAAACAATGCTTTTTTTGACTGCAGCTGTTTGGGGTTGTTGTAGGTTTGGTGGGGACGAGGGATAGGGCTTTCTCGGTGGTGGCCCCTCAACTCTGGAACTCTCTCCCTGAGGACATCAGGCAGGCCCCGTCGCTAGCAATTTTTAGGAGGAGCTTGAAAATGTGGTTGTTCCAGTGTGCCTTCCCAGAATAACAAAACTCCTAGCATTATGTCCCAACACACTTTATCAGAGATCTAGGATATCTGCATGCCCATCCCCCTCCGAACACTCCACCTGGTCACGCCCAGCACTTTTAAATTTTAATTATTACATTTGGCCCTGCCATTGATTTTAATTGCGTCATTGTGTATTGTTAATGTCATTGCTTTGTTCTTTGAGTTATTTTGCTGGTTGTTGTTGCTGTTGTTTTACTATTGTATTTGGGCTCGGCCTCTTGTAAGCTGCACCGAGTCCTTCGGGAAATGGTAGCGGGGTACAAATAAAGGATTATTATTATTATTATTATTAGGTTTTCGGCTGTATTCTCTTCTGACGTTTCGCCTGCATCTATGGCAGGCATCCTCAGAGGTTGTGAGGTCTCCAGTTTTTTTGGGTTTTTTTTTTTTTTTTTGCTATCCTGTCCTAAGCATCACTGCCACCTACACCTTCCACACAGTTAAATAGGAAAGACTCACGACGAAGAAATTAAAAATGTTTCCCTGGAAGTTGCATCTTTGGGTAACTAGTTTGATTCGCCTGAAGGAACCAGATGCTCTTGGTGCTGCTTTTTTCCTTTATTCAGTTAGCTGTCTTCAGAGTTCTGGCTCTACTGTAAGCTTGGGGCACAAGCATGACCTCATTTACGTGAGCTAGCCCTGCGGTTCAGAGATTTTATTTTGCTGGTGGCAGCCAGCCTGGTGGAGTATCTGCTGTATGGAGCACTGAGACCCAAATTCTCTGCTTGCACAGCAAGAAAGCTTAAAGAGGCAGCATCTTTTTAATCCCACTGCCCTCCAGAGATTGTAATTTTGTTTAGCTCCCGAACTGATTGGTAGTGCTGACTTTTGAATATTCGGCTCCAGCTCTGTCTCATACACATCAGGCAAAAGTGTCTCCTCAAGGACTTCCAGCAGCTACAGGGGGAGAAAAGAGAGGGGTGTGTGTTAAAACTTCCTTACATGTAGAGGCAGAGAACATGAAAAGTAGGCTTTACATACTTCGTTTGGCAGCCTTGTCATTATTGAAGAAAATCTTGAAATATATAAATAGAGCCAAAATGTCCACTTACAATTAAAATCAGTGCTTATTTTACTTGGACACTTTAGGCTATAACTTTAGGCTATAAATCTCCCATTCATGGGAACATTTGGAGCACTAATATGTATCAGTTGAAGCTCTATGCAAGGGACTTACTTTGTGTTCTGCAGTTTGGTATTCAGAGTATAAAGTACATACTTGCATAGTTAGTCAATGTTAAAAAGTTGATATATGTTGAAAATATAATATTTTCTATTCAGCTCTCTAGTAATCTGATTTTTAAATGATAATGTCTATATTCTGTATTTTCTCTTCATTTGCATAAATAAGGTTAGAAATTGCCATTGCATTACACATATTACAAATAACTTCAGTATTTACATTGTTGTCACGTGCCTTCCGATTGACTCTTTTTCTGATGTCTATTTTAGGAGTTGTTTTTTTTGGGGGGTGGGGGGGCAGTGAATTTTTGTTCAGCAAAGATTTACCATTGCTTTTCTGTGAGATGAGAGAATTGGACTTGCCCATCATTATCCAGTAGGTTTCTATAGCCAAGTCAAGTTTCAATGCCTTCTCTTCTGGAGTCCTCCGGTGTTGACTCAAACTATTACATCATGCTGGCTCTCTCTTGTCAAAGCTGTTTAGAGGGTGTCAAATTACCATACATATACTCTAGTATAAGCCAACCCGAATATAAGCTGAGGCATTGAATTTTACTACAAAATACTGTGAAAATGTATTGACTTGACCTGAGGATGGGAAACGCAGCAGCTACTAGTAAATTTCAAAATAAAAATAGATACTGATAAAATTACATTAATTGAGGCATCAGTAGGTTAAATGTTTTTGAATAGTTACATAAAACTGTAATTTAAGATAAGATTGTCCAACTCTGATTAAACCATTATTCTAACCTTCAACTTAAATGTGCTTACGTATCCTTATAATGTTAATAAAGAGAGTAAACTAGTAAATGTAATAAAAAAATAAAATGGTTTTTCATAGAATTTATAACTTGTAGTAGCAAGCTAGATCTTGGTTCCTGGTAGGATTAGGGTTAGGGTTAATATTAATGTTAAATCTAGCCAGCGTATAGGGTGTCCTATATGTGGGGTTAGTGAGCACTGCAATATAAAGGACTGGGTTTCCCTGTATGAATGGAACTGCCATGTTCATAGGTGAACAGAATTCATTGGCCAAGCTCAGCAGTTGTTTATAATCCAATTCTAGCAACCATGAGGATGAAAATGTCAGTGAAAGTTAGCATATTTAAGAAGCTGCTGTTGTTGTTCATTCGTTCAGTCGTCTCAGACTCTTCGTGACCTCATGGACCAGCCCACGCCAGAGCTCCCTGTCGGCCGTCACCACCCCCAGCTCCTTCAAGGTCAGTCCAGTCACTTCAAGGATGCCATCCATCCATCTTGCCCTTGGTCCGCCCCCTCTTTTGCCTTCCACTTTCCCCAGCATAATTGTCTTCTCTAGGCTTTGCTGTCTCCTCATGATGTGGCCAAAGTACTTCAACTTTGCCTCTAGTATCGTTCCCTCCAATGAGCAGTCGGGCTTTATTTCCTGGAGGATGGACTGGTTGGATCTTCTCGCAGTCCAAGGCACTCTCAGAACTTTCCTCCAACACCACAGCTCAAAAGCATCGATCTTCCTTCGCTCAGCCTTCCCTAAGGTCCAGCTCTCACTTCCGTAGGTTACTACAGGGAATACCATGGCTTTGACTAGGCGGATCTTTGTTGCCAGTCTGATGTCTCTACTCTTTACTATTTTATCGATATTGGACATTGCTCTCCTCCCAAGAAGTAAGCGTCTTCTGATTTCCTGGCCACAGTCTGCATCTGCAGTAATCTTTGCACCTAGAAATACAAAGTCTGTCACGGCCTCCACGGTTTCTCCCTCTATTTTCCAGTTGTCAATCATTCTTGTTGCCATAATCTTGGTTTTTTTGACGTTTAGCTGCAACCCGGCTTTTGCGCTTTCTTCTTTCACCTTGATTAGAAGGCTCCTCAGCTCCTCCTCGCTTTCGGCCATCAGGATGGTGTCATCTGCATATCTGAGGTTGTTAATGTTTCTTCCAGCAATTTTCACCCCAGCCTTGCATTCATCCAGCCCCGCACATCGCATGATGTGTTCTGCATACAAGTTAAAAAGGTTGGGTGAGAGGATGCAGCCTTGCCGTACGCCTTTCCCAATCTTGAACCAGTCTGCATTGCTTATTTAAAAATAGTTCCTTATCTCTTCTGGCTAACCTCTGGAATAAAAGAGGAAAAGAAAAAAGAGAAAAAAGTTCTTGAAAAGAAAAAAAGGGAAAAAGAAAAATTGTAAAAATAATAATAAAAAAACCTCTGGAATTGCGCATTTAACTGGGCATATCTCCCCTTATCCCTGTTTCCTTTTGCTTTTCTCCTTTCTTGGGCTACTTCCAGTGTCTCAGCAGACAACCATTTTGCCTTCTTGGTTTTCTTTTTCTTTGGGACGTACTTTGTTGCCGCCTCCTGAACAATGTCGCAGACTTCTGTCCATAGTTCTTCTGGGACTCTGTTTACTAAATCTAGTCCTTCAAATCTGTTCTTCACTTCCACTGTATATTCTCTAGGAATGTTAGTGAGATCATATCTAACTGGTCTGTGTATTTTCCCTGATCTCTTTAGTTTTATTCTAAAGAAGCTGCTATCATAGCCCAATTCCCTGATCTTTGCTAGGACTTTTGAACACTATTTTGAGTGGCTGAATTCACTCAAAGTAAGTTGGATCAAGAGTTACTGGGGCTTTTGTAGTGAATATAACCAAAATTTTATGATGTTTAGCCAGATAGTGGCCTCTATAGAGTTTTGGCCAAATTCTAAGCATAGAACTGCGTTTGGGACGCCAAATAATTAGTGCAGGAATTTTGAGTGGAATGATCTAATGGCACTGTTATTAGGGGTTAGCCAAATGGGAGCTCCATATACTAGTTGTGATCTCGCCTTTGCTTGAAAAACTTGCAGAGCTGGGGGAATATATTAGTTGCCCCTGGAGTGATAAAACCTCATGATGGCATTGGTGCTTGATTGGGCTCGGGCCAGTGTATAAGAAAAAATAGATTAAAATAATGAATGTAATCATAATAATAAATAGAGTAAAATAATAAATGTAATAGTAACAATAATAAATGTATACTCGAGTATAAGCCAAGGGGAGGTTTTTTTCAGCCTAAAAATAGGGCTGAAAAACTAGGCTTGTACTCAAGTATTTGTTGTTCATTCGTTCAGTCGTCTCCGACTCTTTGTGACCTCATGGACCAGCCCATGCCAGAGCTCCCTGTCGGCCGTCACCACCCCCAGCTCCTTCAAGGTCAGTCCAGTCACTTCAAGGATGCCATCCATCCATCTTGCCCTTGGTCGGCCCCTCTTCCTTTTTCCTTCCACTTTCCCCAGCATAATTGTCTTCTCTAGGCTTTGCTGTCTCCTCATGATGTGGCCAAAGTACTTCAACTTTGTCTCTAGTATCCTTCCCTCCAGTGCGTTTATTTCCTGGAGGATGGACTGGTTGGATCTTCTCGGAGTCCAAGGCACTCTCAGAACTTTCCTCCAACACCACAGTTCAAAAGCATCGATCTTCCTTCGCTCAGCCTTCCCTAAGGTCCAGCTCTCACATCCGTAGGTGACTACAGGGAATACCATGGCTTTGACTAGGCGGATCTTTGTTGCCAGTGTGATGTCTCTACTCTTTACTATTTTATCGAGATTGGACATTGCTCTCCTCCCAAGAAGGAAGCGTCTTCTGTATGTAAAGTAAGTATTTTTCCCCCTAGGTTTCTTTTGCACCAAGGAATATATTTCATCATCATCATCATTTAATTACTTATTAATCGCCCTCCATCCAAGATGCTCTAGCCGATTTACAAGCTAAAATTGTAAAGGATATAATACATATATACAGATATTGATAAAATTAACATAGATCAAAAGCTCTAGTAAAAAGCCAGGTCTTAAGTGCTAGGGTAAAAGGCCCTAACTCACGCATGGCTCTCATATAGGGCAGCAAGGAATTCCATAAGGCAGGGGTAGAAATAGAAAAAGCTCTGTGTCTGGTTCTTTCCAAGTGCACTTCTCTAGGACCCAGTATATAAAGTAAGTCACGTTGGGATGGTCGTTGCGACCTCCGATGATGGGAGAATGAGAGGCGGTCCCTAAGATATGATGGACCCTGGCCGTAAAGAATTTTAAAGGTCAGAACTAGCATCTTATATAGACCACGGTAATCAGTTGGAAGCCAATGCAAATGCCGCAACACTGGTGTTATATGACATTTCATGGGTGTTCTTGTGAGTAGCCTGGCTGCCGCATTCTGAACAATACAGAGCTTTCAGGTCGTAGAGATCGGAAGGCCAACATACAGGGTGTTGCAATAGTCCAGCCTAGACGTGACCGTGGCATGGATGACTGTTGCCAGAGCCTCATCAGATAGGTAGGGTGCCAATTGCCCCGCTTGTCGTATATGGAAAAAGGCCTGTTTGCTGGCAGCGGCTACCTGAGCTTCCATTGTCAGCTGCGAATCCAAAACGACACCCAAGCTCTTAACGGTAGGCGAAGGAGATAGAGCAGCACCATTGAGGGTGGGTAGCAAATGGGTCAGGCCAATCGAGTGGCCATGCCAGAGAATCTCAGTCTTTGCCGGGTTCACCTTCAGTCTACTAGCACGTAGCCAGTTCGACAGAGCCTCCAGACATAAGGTGAAATTGTCTGGTATTGACGTTGCCCCAGGCTCCAAACGCAGAAGGAGTTGGGTGTCATCCACATATTGATATTTAATGGTACTATGTTTTGATTCTTCAGAATGATTTGCTTTCTAGGGAAAAAATTGTTATTTTATGTGATACTTCAGCGACAGGAAAAGATGTTATAATATATTATTTTCTTTTTAGCTGAAAAACTACAAGAATTCAGTATATAACTTTTTAGTGAAGTTGCATATTAGCCTAATATGTCTAATGAATGAGAATCTTACTTACAAAACAAATATATAATTTTATCTCCATTTATTATGCTACTAGTGTGATTTTGATCCCTTAGGATCAAAGGCAATTGTTTTCTTTCCATTTATACCATACTCATCTGTTTCTAGATGCTTGGCATCCGAAACAGCAAATCACAGAATTTCAATAGAAATTAGAAATGAAGTAGGACTTTTAAAAAAGTGATGACACCATAAAGTGGGTGAAAAATACAGTGGGAGCCATGTAACATTGTAAGCACTTTATCCAGGTGTTGTTGACTTAACTGCATTAATAAGGGTATCTCCAGAAGGAACACAGCCAACTTTTTGCTCTTCTTTTTAATGATATAAATGTCACACTAATATTTCAGGTATTTCTTCAGTGAATCCCTATGAACAACAGTCTTATTGCTAGGATTGCCTCCCACAGTGGGGATTCTTGGGGGTTGGGGTTTTTTTTTTGCATGTTTTTTTTTAAAAAATACTGCTTTTTGTATACATATGCCTGTTATTTTAGAACAGCAGAATCTGACTGAGGCATTGAACCTAGAGAATGAGCTATAAGAGGTTTACATTGCTCCTTTTTATGTGTTTGGGACATTAGTAGCTGTAGATCATGGCAGGAGCAACTGAAATCTTTATGTTGTGGCATGAAAAACGTCCAGGCCAGAATCTACCACTGACTATTTTCTTCACCATGAACAATGCTGTTTAATAGCAAGATTTAAAAAAGCACATCGCTGAGAAAATACAAAGAACTTGTCCTTGCATTTTGAAAAAGAGACTCTGGTTCTGGCCCCTATGGAAAAGTTGACTAGAAAATGTTATGTGTCAAATGGACCCCATTTATTAATTGCTCTAAAGTATAATAATAGTAAATATTATCCACCTATTTTGTACAACATCTCATAGAAGAATATACTTGACTAGGTTTTTGGAGAAGGTTTGTTATCTCTGTTTTTTTAAATAAGTATTGATTTTATATATTTTGGGCAATGCCTTGCATATATTTAAAGTTAATTAAAAAGCAGTAGTGATAATTCTATATTTATGTATATTAACTCACTGGTAGACTTTTTGGTGTAAGAAATGTTGAGGAGAACATAACATTGACTTGTAGGCACCATATTTTTCCCGCCTTCGATAAAGCTGAAAATGGAACATGAATAGATAGTCTGTATTTAAGCGGCCCAGACAGCAAGAAATGATAGGAACAGCATTTATGGGTAGTGATGATAGAGGATTGAGACCCAGTGTGGTGCAGTGGTTTGAGTGCTGGGCTATGATTGGACAAATGCTGTCCAAAAGCCTCATGATATGGTTGCCAAAAGTCAGAAATGAAGGCACACAGCTATGATGGCGGTTAAGCAATTACCTATTAGAATTAATGGTGTGTGCATTTGAAATGCTATTCTCTGAAATATTGGGTGACAGGTATCCACTTTTTAACTAAAGGTTCTACATATCGGAATCTTGTTCTTCTTTACAAATGTAGAATAATTGGGATGATCAACCACTATTTCAAGAACAAAGACCCTAAATATACTTTCTTTAAATATAAATGAGCTAAATTCACCAAGCAAGAGAATAGCGAATTATTATTTGTGATTGCCGGAAACCGTAACATCACTTTATACTTTTAATGCCCTTTAATTATTTAGATCCCTTTAATGTAAATGTGTATGATGAGGTTTATGTGTTTTTAACTATTCTTCGGTTGTCATTTATGTTTTTAAGTTTATATTGATACTATTTATTGTTGTTTTGATTTATTTTGCTGCTCACTTTGGCATTGAATGTTTGCCACTTTTCTTCTGGAAACTGCCCTTAGTTCCCCTAGGGAGATAGTGTGGGTTACAAATAAAATATTATTTTCATCCCACTCAAGATTTATGGGTGACAAAAATGGTGGATCTGGAAAAAATAAATTGATCAGGTTTATACAATCACTGCTCCATGCAGTCATGCTGGCCACATGACTTTGGAGGTGTCTACAGACAATGCCAGCTCTTTGGCTTAGAAATGGAGATGAGCACCATCCCCAGAGTCGGACATGACTAGACTTAATGTCAGGGAAAACCTTTACCCAAATTTGAAGAAGAAATCTAATTAGAGTTGGACAAATTGACTAAACTAATGCAATTGTGAGATCCTTCCACATTTGAAGCAGAATGGCAGCCTTTTGTTGACTATTTAAAAGAAGTAAAGAAAATGGAAATACTGTTTTTTCTATAGCACCAAGGGAAAGAGTATAGTACAGGGATGTAGGAATAACAAGAAAAGAAAATATAGAGAAGTCAAGTGATAAGAATAACAGGATCCCCAATGGATCCAAGGGATACTGGAAAGTTAATCTACCAGAGATGAGAAGTTTTATGACAAAAATAATAGATGTTCTCAATTTTCTATCCTTTGTTTCAAAACACTGTAAACCTGCTTTTCTATCCTTCTGTTTTAGATTAGAAAAGAAATGCCCCCCCTCACACTTTTCTTATTTTAATGTCATAGAAACCTTTTTAGTATTAGATAAGCGATGGAAGTAGATGAAAATGAAGATGTTAAAAATGCCCCATTCTATATCCACTCTTGTATCCCTCCCCATTCCTCATATACTTGCAATAAAAATAGATTTTAATTTATTAAAAATTGAAAATGTTTCATTCATG